AGCCCCTGTCCATTTTGAGCGAAGGACCTTGCCTTTTTCATTTCGGTCAACCTTGCGCAGAGAATGCCAGCGACGAATCCGGTGCTCAGCCCAACCCTGGCCCAACCAGCGTTGCATTGCATCTGGGTCTACGCGCTGACGAGCCAATCCAGCGTCCGAGTAGCCATCAAGGCGCTGTATTCCGTCTTCTGGATATTCTTCATGAGGCCGTTCCCCTTGTGGCGGGCGCCCCCGCAGACGATCCCCTCCCCGGGGGGCGCCAAGTCTATTGACCTTGAATGGGAAAGTCTTTGCCCCCCCCGCATCAGGAGGATGAGGGCGCGGAAGGCCGCTAGCGCGGGCGCCGCTGGAGCGCGCGCGCGCGCGGTCGGGCGAGCGACTGCGGGCCCGACAGCGACGTGCCAGACGAGCGTCGCCTTCCCATTATTCGTCGCCGTCGTCGGCGCGATACTTGCGTCTCCAGGAACGGCGGCTTGCCGATCGCCCCATGGCGGCTCATGGAGCGGTCCGAAGCTGCAGATGTGCATTGAAATCCTTCATTGCGGCCGAGCCCATGCTGAACGCGCTCGGACAGACCGCTAACATCTCGCGGGCTTCCCCGCAAATCGCCGTCATCGCTCAATTCCATGTTTGTCGGATTTCTGGTAAACCGAGGATAAAGCATCAACTGTATATCCCACCCTGTCGCAGGAATGGTGGCATCTGAATCCGCGGGCGCCCCCGACATTTCGTCGTCTCCTTCGGCGGGCACGTGGAAGTTCTCGACAAATTCAATATCAACAATATGGCCCGCGATGGGAGTGCCCAGCCAGTCTGCCAGATCAATATCATTGCGGCCAGTGAATACCTCCTCGAACAGCTCGCTGGCGCAATTCTCGAGGGACATACTGGCACTCAAATATCTGGCAGACATGAAGTTCCAACTGCAACTGAGCTATCAGCAGCGTCGGCTAAAAGCGACTCCCAAGTAACAGAATGTATATCCGCGCCTCTCCCATCGCCCCGAGGGCATTCGCGGCGAAAGTGCTGCGTGCTGTGGCAGATGTCGCACTCCATAGTTTTGCCGTTGGCATCCTTCGGGTTTCTCCGACGTCCCTTACCTTTTCCCGATGTATGCCTGCGATTCCTGCCGGCGCCCAGGAATATCTCTTCATATGGTGGCCCAGTAAGGGATGCTAGGAATATTAACATGCCTCTGCCATGCAATCGGCGACGCCTACCTCTAGCCTTACCTCGACCCTTGCCTTCTCCCTTGAGTGCCCGTCGGACGATGCGCAGTACTTGCGAACTGGCTTCCTCATGCATCGCCTCCACCTGCGTTTATGTTTCTGGTACCCCAAGAATGACCATTGCGCCTGTTGCTCTTCCGTGAGGTACGTGGGCATATCGGGGTAAACAAAGGCTGTGGCCTCGTCGTCCGAAGACGTGCCGGTGTCAATGCCGGAGTCGGAGTCGGACTCGGCAGGTTGCTCCGCTGAACCCATTAGGGTCGTGGCTGGCGCAGGGGATACCGCGCCGGGCGGCCCCCGAAACCTGGCCCAGGAGTCTTGCGACCCCGAGGCCGATCCACTATTCTGAGCCAGTAGTGTAGTGGCAGTGGTCTCAGTTGTGGATCGTCAATCCAGACGTTATTAGCAAATTCCCCTGCGTTTGCCACGACGTGAAAGGTCTCGGATCGGTGACCGTGACTGAAAATACCGCCAATATTGCAAGGGGTTCTCTCGGCAATGTGTGCATATGACCTCATGCGTCCAGGTCGAGAGTCAAATTGTTGCTGGTCTCTCGGCATGTGGTGGTTTAGTGGCTGCAGGAGTTGCTGTGCACGCGATGTCCCCACCCCAAGGGCTCTGAATAAAATAAATGTTCAAATTTAGAAGTTGGGAGTGTTAAAGCCTGCCGTTTCAGCTTCATAGCAGGCTATCTCGAAGCGTGCCAACGTCTGGTCAAACAGAAGGAACATGATGTAGGTGACGCCGTCGGTATGGCGGCCACCGATGTTAACACCATAGTTGATAACTGCTGGGGGGGCTCTCATGGTTATGGTCCGTGCGAGGCCTCCCAAACCTCGCTGCATGGCTGCAGTTTGCTGGGAGGGCGTCATGTTGCCTGTGGTCACGTTGACCCAGGCATGCACCTCGCGGACGAATTCGCGGAAAAGTACTTGACCTGCTGGGTCCCAATGGGGGCCGGTCGTTCTTGTCTCGTCTCCGCCGCGCATATGTCCTACCGCACACCCGATAGCGACCCATGCGACCCCAAAAATAGTTATACCGATCCAATGGCATCGCAGGTCGTGGTCGGATTTAGTCGGTTGGGGTGACTTATGTGTGGTCGTAAACTTGCGTGGGGGTGGAGGAGGCACAATGTCGTATCGCATGTTTCCATGCATTCTGTCTTCGAAGAAATTTCCCATTGGAGTAGGTGGGTGGACTTCAGGAATGTGGTAGCGCAGGGCTGTAGGACGAAAGTGAGAGGCCTCCGCGCAGGTAGAGTGTCGCTGCAAGTGTCCTTGCTATACTGCATAGTTATGTACATTCCTCCGCGCAAACCCACTGCACCCGGATGTTCCACCACGCCTGTAGTCCACCAGATAGTGCCGTGGATGGTGAGGAGTAGAACAAGAGCTGACCACCATAGGTCAGCTCCGCTACCAAGTTTGAAGAAGGGGTCGGGAGGCCCAACCAACAGCTTCGCCTTAGGCGAAACCAAGCACCCGCTCTGTTGTACCGCAGCAACGACAGTCCCATTAGTAGGGGGCGAGCCATCTCGAGCAGTTTTGGCATCGATGGCAAATAGTACACCTCGCGCTGAGGTGCAGTCAGATCTGGGCGGCCGGCCGCTTTGAGCCAAGCGGCCGCGGATGCACGCTCGTTCCCATTCACAGGCAACGCCCAGTTCACTTTAGAGTAACGAGCCCTGTGTCGCTCGGCGGTGTGCCAAAGGCGCGTGTGCAAGTCATGGCCCGGCGCATTTTTGCGCAGCCCAGGGGAGGCCAGTGGAGCGCGTTGAAAGAAGCTGGGGGCCATGGGATCCGGGGGCGACATCATGGCCCTGGCCATCACTTCCACCCCTTCTACAGTGGAGGCACGTCCACAAGAAAACTTCCACAACAGAAAAAACCAACCCTGAGACCCCAGGACGTCCATTGATGTTTGGTGTGGGAGCGTCAGCTTGCCATCGCAAAACCAATCGCAAAAATATCGAAACGGTGCTTCTTGGCATGGGCACCCACTGTAGTCATCACCCCCCTCTTGGCCGCCCCGACTCAAGACAAGCGAGTTTGCCAAGTTTCGGGCCCCGGCGCCCTCACAGATCGATCTGGCTGGAAAAAAACAGCAGAAGAATGCGGCCTGGGGCTCTGGTCGTGATATTTCGCGATGCTGTTTGTTCCGCAAGTTCGGACAGCAGGGGGTCAGCGTGCTACGACGAAGGAGCGATGACCAAGTCCGCGCTAACGACGATGTTGGTCAACGGCGATGCTGGGAATATTGTTGTTGCAACGTCGAACTCGCGCGTAACACCTTGTAGGAACACGCGAACAGCGCTTTTTGTCGACAACTGGGTTGGCCCCGAACCACACCCACTTACGATACCGAAGCCTACATAGCCGATACCTACATCGGCATGATTGTGTCTCTTGCCGTCGACCGGACGTCCATTCACCGTGCATGTGTCGGATTCGCGCGTGTCTTCGTTGCTCGATGATCCAGGGTGCTCCTCGATGGTCCTCGTCGAGAACAAGGCACACGTCCGAGCGATGCCACGTGTCTACGGGATGAATGAGGCGTATCGTTTCACCGATCCCCATCCCCAGCGGCGTGGCCTGGGCCCCGCTGGCCGATTTACCCCCCTAGATGGGGAAAATTGGTTGTTCTCTTCGGGCTTCGAGTGGTGTGCTCCAAACTGGGGTGGAAATTTGTTGTTGGGGGTCCCGACGGGGATGGAGATGGGAATCGGGATGGGTTAAACGATCCCGCAATGAGGAGCGGTAAGCTTCTGGCCACAGGGAGCCTCGGCCACGAAAGGGCCCCTGGAGCTACATCTGAGGAACGCCCACCGACGGCCAGAGCCCCTCCTGAGACTCGCGTGGCCCTTGCTCTTGGCGTCCTGGCTGTGGGAGACAACTCTGAGGCAGGAGCACGCATACGAACAATACGCGTCGGTCGGGGGCATTAGGTAAAACCATGAAGCAGGAAGGTGGATCAGGTGGACTAGGCTGGGACCCTCCCAGGAAGTAGCAGAGCACAGCGAGAGCACATCGACTCATGAAGCAGGAAGGCGCTCGAAGCAGGCTGGGATCTGGGAGTCCAAGAACACCGACTCTCAACGACCGGCGTGTGGCGACACCACCAGCAGCGCGAGGAGCCAGGGAGGGTCTTCCTGGTGGTGCGGTCACCCTCCACCGCCCGAGACGTCCCACATCCGCAGGTGAGGTGGCACCCCTGGTGGTGGTGGTGTCGTGCTTTGTTTTCCCGACTGGGAGGCCTTCGTGGGATCCATCAGGGGGGCTACTAAGCCCGATCAAGGGGCCACTGAGCCGGGCTCCCAAAAGAGGGCCCCAAGAGAGCCCCAAGATTGCCCCAACAGGGCCGCAATAGAACCCGAACGGCCTCCAGCATCGCCCCAGGGTGGCCCAAGCAAACTGCCAACACGCTCCTATAGTAGCAGAAGATCCGCAAGATCATTTACGGTTGACTCCTTGGCCTGCTCAGGATGATGCCGATCGTCGATTTGACGGCTTCAACCCTTTGTTTTCCACTGAGTGCTCCCACGCTGTCCTGAACGGTGCCACTCGCCTAGGCACTGTGGCTGGATGGGCTGATTGGGTTACGCGCAATGTCAACCCACGGAATAGCCCAAGCGAGAAGCACAGCACTCTTGGCTTGATTGCGAAAGCTCGCTATGCTGGGCGCTCAGACACAAGAGGCCAGCCTGCACAGCAGACGTGCGGCCTTCTTCGCAAGCCTGCGGAGGCACTGCAGCGGGGGACCCAGGACAGCTCACTCGTCGAAGATGTCTCCGAACATGCTCGGGTTCATGATGTAGGTGGAGGCGTACTCGTTGAAAACCCAGGCGCCGCCTGGACACGACAGGTCGACGCGGGAAGCCAGCGCTTGGTTCCACAAGTCATCAGTGACGTCGATCGCCTCTGAAAAGCAGGCCCCCTCCATACGACCCTCATCCTGGTACGCGAAGGCCAGGATACCCGCCTCTCTAACCTTCTCCATGCAGGCCTCGACGGAATCGACCCTGCCCATGTTTCTCGACGGGCCGCAGCTGTCGGAGGGGTAGCCCTCCTCACGGATCTTGAGGTAGCCCTGCTGCTGCTCCTCCTCCAACTTGGCCGACGGCGAGAACGCACGGGGGCAGAACTTCACCAGCAGCTTCTGGGCGTACTCCGGTTCGTTGTTGACGAGCGCCGTGAGGCCAGGGATGCGCTCGTAGTTGGTCTCCCACGGATCGCTCGCCCAGCCCCTGAGCACTACCAGATTCTGCGTCGTGGACTCGGCGATCGGGGCCATGAAGATCTGCACGCCCTTGTCCTTCATCGCCGTTGCCAGCATGGTCGTGCGGTACGCGTTGGTCCACTTGCCGTCCGAGATCACCATGACGGCGCTCTGAGCGTCCTCACGGCCGTCCGCGAACATGTTGTCGGCCGCCTTGAGGGCCTGCATCATGTTAGTGAAGCCGCGCTGCCACTGCAGCCCTTCGATCGCTGTGTTGACGGAATCAAGGTCGCTGGTGATCGAGACCACCTCCAGGGCCGGCGCGACGGTGCCATTGTCGAAGTACTCGCCGTTCCCAAACAACACCAGCCCGATGCGCATGTCCTCCACGCCGTAATATGTGCTCTGGTACTTGCTGGTGAGGTTCAGGGCGAAATTCTTGATAATGTCGAAGCCCTCCTGCTTCACGGAGCCACTGCCGTCGAGCGCAATGACGAGATCCTGCCTGGCGATGCAGATCTCGTCACCAACGCAATCCTGGGTGTTGCACTGCTGCATCTGAAAGCGGTCGGGGTGTTTCGACCCTGGGCACTTGCCGTTCGCGCGGATGGGGATGTCCACCTTCCGCACGCGCTCCTGGATGCCACCGCCACAAGCCATCGAGCAAGGCTCCCACGCAGTCCACGGCATGAGCGTGCAATCGCGGTCGCACGACTCGGTGTGGCACGGCTGCTCCTCGAGTGTGGTGTCACACTCCGTCCCACCGTTCTTGGGCTTCACGAGGATGGAACGGGTCTTCCCTTGGACGCCGCCCCCGCACTCCTTGGAGCATGCGGACAAGCCAGACCACTCGGACATGGAGCAATGGACTGGGCAGTGGAACTGGTTACACTTCATGCCGACGGTCCCGTTCGTGCGCTCGAAGTACAAAGGGGGGCACGCCATGCCGAAAGAATTCGGGGAGATGATGACCTGCCTGCTGAGATACTACAGGCCACCGCACGTGTCGACGTCGACGCCCCCCACGTCGGCCGGGCAGCTGTCGTCACAATCTACCGATCGTGAGTTGCCCCTACCGTCGGCGGTGCACGGCCCCGCGGACCAGTCTGTCACGTCGCAGTCCTTGATCGAGTGCGTGGGCGAGACTGCACTGTACCGCATCAGTGCATTGCGCACGGTCCGAGTCCCGCAGATGTTCGTGTAGAGGATCTCGCTCATGCGCTTCCTGTAATCCGCCATCTTGATCGTGAACGCTCTCTCGATGTCGCGGTGCTGCTGCTGCTTCTCGCGCGTCGCCGCCGTGAGCGCGTTGATCTCGGAGATGGCCTCGCCCAGCATCTCCGTGAACTTCATCTTGTTCGACCTCAGCGTCCCGATCTGTTCGTTCATGTTCTCTTTCTCGCCCTCGTAGGCGTCGCGGTTGCGCTGCATGATGTAGGTCAGCTCGTCCACCAGGTCCTTGAACTTGCCCCACTCCAACGCCATGATGTCGTGGAGGTAACCGCAGTTGACAATGCCGTTCACACACTTCCTCGAGCCGCCCGGCGGTTGCTTGACCCTCTGCGGCGGGGGCGCCTGAGCGATCTGCAGCAGCGAAGGCGCCCCCGACTCGGCGGCCCCAAGGACTTCCTCGAGCACCTTCTGCACCCGCGGCGACCGCTTCAGCTTCGCTGCCATGGAAGAATCGTTTACCACCAACTCAGTGCCATTGTCCGTGTCGCACACCTGGAACTGCTGCGCGAAGGAGTACGTGTCGTCTCCGTAGGCGTTCGGGCACTTGGACAGCTGCAGGATGGCGGTGAAGACATCCTGATCGTCCTGGCGAAGCGAGAGCTCGTACGCGTTCTTCTCGCGGGTTGACTGGAAGCCGCGCTTCAGCGTATCCAGGGCGCCCTCCAGGCTGTTGATCCGAGTCTGCATGTCGGCGTTGCCCCCTTCGGCCTCACTCTTCATGCGCTCTTTGTCGGCGAGGTCCGAGCCCAAGTGTTCCAGGTCGGTCACCACCTGGCTGAACACCATGCGGTTGCTCTCCTCGAACTCCTTGCTCTCGACCTCGATCTGGTCCAGCTGGAGCCACGCGTCATACATCATGTTGTTCAAGTACACGCGTGCTTTGGCCAACGAGAC